ATTTAAATTTCGAATAGGTTGACTTGGGACATTTTTTTCGTGGTTTTCGTATTAGACCCGTCGTCCATTTATTTGTAAGTCAATGAATAAAATGCTTATTTTTACAGATGAGACCGCGCCGTTTGCATGGCAAATGGCACGTCATAATACGATTTTGCTATGAAAGAAAAGGTGAACGGATTTCGAATGGGGAACGTAAACTGCATGGACAATGAATTGTTTTTGTGAGGTCATAGTACGAATTTGACAGGCAATCCAACTTACAGGCTTAAATAGGATTGCTCTATGAGCTCATAGTAGGCCCCCAGGTCCCATCGGTTTGACATAAATAACACCAGGAGTAGTTTTCATAACATTATTAACTTTGAGTAAATCCATTTTGTTATTTTGATCATTGTTCGAAGAAAGTAGGATTGTATACTCTTTCTTGTCATTATCGATGTATATGTGGTTATAATCTCTGAAAAATCCTCTACGGGTTCGAGAAAAGCTTGCCGCCATTTTCTTGAAAAAAGATTCTACGAAGTCACTCTTCTCATCGTTTGTCCTTTTTCCGGGACGGACGATGCCGTAGTTGGAGACACTCATTTACCCAATTAGTAGTAACGGATATGCAAGTAAATTCGACAGCAATTTAAGTAATCGAAAAGGGCGTAAAAGTAGTTTTCAAAATTAATTAAAATAAACTAATTTAAAGCTGGGCGCCCTTTTGCTTTTTGACAATATTTATTTTACTCACTGACTGAGCTTTGGCTACAAGCAACAAGTCCTTCTTTGCAAACATGGCGGCCAATTGTTTTTTTTTTTGTAGAATTTTATTTATTTCCGTGTGTTTCGTTTGTTGCAATGTTTGTAATAAATTGTTTGCGTAAATTTAAAAAATATTCCAAATTTTTCGTCATACACTAATATCCAATCACACACATACATATATCTAGATATATGTTTATGTATCTAATGAAGATCATTTATCTAGGCCCGCAGCGTAACGGCCGCATTTTGTGAATTTTGGTAAATGGCGATGTCTCCATGAACTTTGTAGATGCAATGCATATTCCACACTCATTCTCAACAGTTCTTTTATTACTTTTCTTGATTTTATATAAGACTAGTCTGAGAGGGCGAGGGCCTGGTGAGCTGTAATACAGGTTTAGTTGCCTAGTACGGTCTCCAGTCTCTCACAAGTGTTTCAATTTCTCATATTGTTAGTCTAATGAAATTTATATTAGTTTAAGTTCTTGTGTTGAGAAAATAAATAATCATTTCATTTCATAATCATTTCATTTCACACAAGTTAGGTGGCCCATGACTTATCGGTACCATTATTATATTCTAATGGTTGTTATTGTGGCGTTTTATTATTCGATAGAAGAACCGAAGAACGATAAATTCCCCAAACTATCTTGTTATAAAGAGTGAAACTGCTACGTTCTAATTTCCCGCCTAAAGAAAAAAATAAAACAATATCAATACAAAACAATGCATATAAGAGAGATAGCAACTAGTAATAGTAAAAGATCCTTTATAGACGTGTATGTCTTTTCTCTTTCATACTCGTTAAATAGCTAAAATAGTACTAAGTAAGCGAGATTAAATAAATTACCTTGGGATGTTCTTTGTCAAAATTAGTCGATTAAAGTACATACTAAAAGTAACATACATACATTTTGAGTTTCATAAATTCTATCTTTTCATGTTTATCTATGGCCAATGTTCAATAAAAAAAAAAAAATTATATTGGTACACCTGATTTTTCCATATAGCAATTCTAATGTAAGATTTGTTTTCATTCTGACTTTATGTTTGGAAGAGGATATTTTTAGTAATAATTTCTGTTTGTGCTGGCTGGTTTTAGCCACTCTTATACCTATAATTTGTGATTACGCTTTCATTAAAGTGAAAAAGAAATGCCATCCTATGCCAGCGTTGGCATTAGTTAGTCAAATAAATGAATAAATTAGCATTTTTTCAGTTTAATGAAAGCGTCATCTCATAACAATTATTGCTAATTTATCATTGACTTACAATTATATGGACGTCGGGTCCGCGCTAAAAAGTGTCCGCACTTGTAAGGCGCTAAAATCGTATACAGAGCGCGACACTCCGCTTTAGTCTTCATTTGTTCTACGGACAGCGCGATACTGCGATGACATAACAATTTAAATTTCGAATAGGTTGACTTGGGACATTTTTTTCGTGGTTTTTGTATTAGACCCGTCGTCCATTTATTTGTAAGTCAATGTAATTTATGCATTTATTTTAATAACTAATTAATTGCAGTTGCTATTAAAACGCTTATAAAGAAATATCAAAGGCCTGTGTGAAGGGTGGACGTGGCCACTAGTTACGGCGCCACACTTATTAACATATACCTAATTTGGGACCCTAACTCGTTAATTGTTATTAGGTTGTACTCCCTAATTTAGAGTGAGGGTTCCTTAAAATTAGGTAGAGTATATGCGCTTGAATAGTATCAAACAATGATAATTAATATGAAAAAAATAGCGGCTAGAACTGGCATTATTCATATTTTTAAGGCATCGTCAGCATCACAAAAATTTAATCATGTTTCCATGTAGCGCCAATTTCCAAAGATCGTATGTTTTTGTAAAAGAAAACAAAAAAAATTGCGACGTAAGCCTTCATAAATTAGTGGAAGGACATCGGTGCTAGGGGCTGGAAGAAATAGCGTCTGGTGTCGAAGATTAAGATCCACTTTGGGTCACTGCGCCACCGAAGTAAGTGCTAACGAGCACCACTTCTTGTCACGTAAGCTATAGTTTATGTTTAATTTCTGCAATTACCAGCTGATTAATCCGTGCAGCAAAGAAAAAGCCATCATGATGGGTATTTTAATTCTTATTCTAATTAATTTAAATTAGGAGTCTTTCTGTTGAGCTTATGATAGATACAGCATCCATAGAGCTTTATGGTTTATTTAAAAAGCGTGCCTCCTCCCATACTCAGTCATCTTATGAGATATTTGAACATAAGGCGGAAGTATTAGCCAAATGAAGCAAAACTAGTAAATTAATTTGTAGAGATTTGAATATTTTACTAGAAGACTTATAAATAGTGTTGTAGTTTCTACTAGAGTCGCTTCTGTTTGTTTGGACTATATTTGCACCAATATCAACCTTAGTAAGATATCTATTATAAATAATATAATCTCGGATCACTGTGGTCAATTGGTCATTTTAACTATAAAATTACAATTACAATTATGTTTAGCGTGATGGGGTATATAATATTAAAATTTTAACAAGAATACAAAGCAGAAAGATTGCGCCTCATTCATATACAAAATAATTGTATACAACATTTTATACTGTGGACACTTATACAATAATTCCGTTTTCAACTTATTACTTAAATTGTAAGTATGCTATTAAAAACATCACAAATAATTCATGAATTCTCATCAGTTTGTTACACCGTACATATAATAAACAAGGTCTGAGAGTCTATATATACTAACTCAGCTAGAATTCAAATTTTTCTCGTACTAATAATACGGTTCATTTTGCTTGGGTCGAGCGGCAGGGAGATTGGCTTTATTTCAAAATTTATTTATTTACAAACGAAATTAAAGCCATTTGAACAATGTATATCGTATAGTATACGTGTTCTATTTACTTGAGTAGATATAAAAAAAATGGTATATAAAGTACCTATTTGAATACAGCGATTTTCTTGTAATAGTTCGAGATAAGTTTGTGTTTCTTTTCTGTCGCGAAAATTTTTAGCAATCGTGTTTTCACACCGTGTAGTAATCAGTGTATATCTTCAATTTTACAATATATTTTTTCCAATGTGACTGATCAACACTTTTACTATTGTGCGGAATCATCAATCCCATCTGAGTAATGAAAGAATCATCACATGGATCATGAATATGAACACGCATTGAGTAAATGGTGTGAAAATCATTTACAAAAATTTTTGTCTTCCCACTATATTCCTTACCAAAATTTTGGTTCACATAATGTATGTATTTATTAGTAGTAATGTTCTTGTAAATTAATATCTTTTTTTTTACAGTGTAATCGATCCTACACATTGACTTACAAATAAATGGACGACGGGTCTAATACAAAAACCACGAAAAAAATGTCCCAAGTCAACCTATTCGAAATTTAAATTGTAATGTCATCGCAGTATCGCGCTGTCAGTCGAACAAATGAAGACTAAAGCGGAGTTTGGCGCTCTGTATACGATTTTAGCGCCTTACAAGTGCGGACACTTTTTAGCGCGGACCCGACGTCCATATAATTGTAAGTCAATGATCCTACATCATAGATGTGAACTTGATTGCTACTAATTTACGCTTGAATTGTGTCCAGTAAAATCACCACACTCGAAGAAAACTTTTGAAGAAAGAAAACATTATACAATAAAAATGTCGCTAATCAAAACGAAGCAGAAAATAATTGTTGCCATTGCAAAATATTTTACAGTTAGGCCAACATTTAGATACTAATTTTCATTGCGTCTCCCGTTTAGTTGACAGCTGCCATAGTGGATATAGATAGATAGATAGAAAATATCTCTTCAATCAACCACCACCATTCCCAATCTAGGAAAAGTTGTTGCCTGTGAAGGATGCCTTCAGCTGCGAATGCGAAGTCTGAAAAACCAGCCTCTTCGGAGGCAATGGATAATTCGCCAATACGACAAATTATGACAATTATTGAACACAAAATCCGTAATTTGGAGAAAAGAAAGGTATGTACAAATTAGTATCAACAGCAATGTATACAGCTGTATTTTTTCTAATCTAGACTTTGTTTCAAGTGAAAAAGTGGCTGTTGGTTAATTATCTTTATTATTGTACTGATTAGATACCGCGGGGAAGCGCACTTTATGTAAATAAAGTTGTTGCGTACCGTTGACGCCATTTTCACACATGTGCTCTTCGAATGTTGACGATACAAAACTATGACGCCTTAGTTTCAACAATGAATTCACTAATTTTGTTCAGTTTAATTAGGAATGTTCATACGTTAACTATGCAGTGTTATACGTACGTCGCCATTAATATTAAGCTTGGTCTTTGTTCTTAATTTTGCTGTTATTTCGTATGTTTATGACAATGTGTACCAAAACGCCTTAGTGTTCGTAAATTTTTTGGTTACCGTGATATATCACTGGCTTGCTGTATTAAACAGAAAAAAATTAGTGATTTTGCACTTCATGACCATTGTAAAATATTTAAATAGGTACTTAATATGTGTAGTATGCTCCAATTTGTACAGAATGAAAGATACATTTCTAAATTTAGGAATAATAAACACTAAGGGCATCCTTAAAATGAAATTTTTTACCAAAATTATTACTGCAAAAGTAGTTTAAAATTAGCATTGTATAAATTATAGCACAGTCTCTGTGTATCAATGATGTACAATTTTATAGAGTAAGCTGACATCATACCGGGATCTCCAAAAAGCAGGCAAAGAGCTTAATTCGGATCAGAAAGTAGCAGTCGCTAAGTATGATGAAGTGGCCCAAACACTCGAGTTTGCACGGGATCTCTCTAAACAAGTAACAGCGATCGCCACTTCTGCTGAACGTGAGGCCAAGAAACAAGCCAAGAAGGTATATATAATTTGTGATGCAAAGAATTTAAAGCTCTTCATTATAACTTGTGTAATGAAACATTTCTTATCTTAAATTATTCATTCTTTATCATTTATTTTTAACCTTCAGGAGGCTTGGGTGCGTTATGCAGCAGAAACAAGCAAGATTCGAGATGTCCTGCTAATCCTGGACTGCCTCATGCAAATGGGCAATACTGAAGTGCGGGAGGACTTTCTAAATGGCACCAATGGTGCTATCAAACTTGCTGAAGAAGATCTCAAGATCTTGGATGAACTGTAAGTAATTTGGAAGAAATAAACAGCTTAAAGGATGGGTCATTGAAATAAAGAGCTGTGTACATGTAAAATAAATAATTTTATCAAGTTTTGTGTAATTGATAAATAGGTGTATGAATATACTTGGTATGGAATTTTCAGTGGAAAATTTACGCTTTGCCACTATCTTGATGTTCTCCATCATCTGCTTTATATTTCTCAGATTTTCTGTCATCATTGTATTAGTTATTATATTTCAATAATTAAAAATTACTGTATATAATTGTATAGGTTAGGCCCAAGAACATTCTCATTGAGTAAAAAAATGCCCACAATGCACTGTGGTAGACTGGCAAATTTTATTAAGTGCCATAACATGAAAACATATTGCAAATATTTTGAAGACATATTTGTTTCACTCAATGAACATTTTCATTCTTTGAACCAAATATGTATGTAACTTTAGATGTTAGTACATTTTAAGTTATATTTCTTATTATTGTATTATAATATATATTCATTCCTATTTTTACAGCTACCCAGAAGTGACACCAAAACATGAGTTAAATGAAGAGGGACAACCTGGATTTCATGCCTACACTACTAAAGCAGCTGAACATCTGTATGCTATTATTGATGGCAAGCCAAAAGAAATCCTGGGCACCACTTACTCACATATAAAAGAAATTGTGACATCTGTTCATGAATGTGGATACTTCGACAAAGGGGCTGAAAATGCCATAGTCGAAAGAGAATTAGGTACTGTTGGCCCAGAAGAGAAGATACTGGAAACAACCGAAGAAGAAGCAGACCCAGAAGTTGTGGCGGTATATGTGGCACCAGCTGGCCTCCCGGTTCCTCCCGCACCAGCTGTGGTTCCAGCGCCTGCTTATCCTCTTCGCCCCCTGCCTCCTATAACTGTTCAGGAAGTCGAACATGCTTATTTCTCACAACAATACCCTCAACAGAGACCCATTTCCGAAGTGATAGGATCACAAAATTTCTTCTTTCTACAAGAATCAGAGATTGACAGCCCCATTGGAACTCCTCAGCCACCACCAATAATGAACCAACCTTCGCCGCCTGCGCCTATCCCGACTCAGACGTTCACAAATCAACATTTCGTTCAACTGCCAGGTGGACGAGTACCGGACCCCTCCGCAATACCCATACCACCGCAACCGCACTTTCCGGACCACGTGACTTTCGCGGCGGTACCCATACCCGCACCTTTGCAGGCAGCACACCCCCAACTTCCTGGGCTTGCACCTGTCCCCGTGCCCGGCCCGGCACTTGGGCCCGCGCATCCCGTGCCGCTGCCTCCGGCAGACTCACATACCGCCCCAAGGGAGGAACGCAAGATACCCACTCCCACTGAAGATAAGAACGATGATGAGTGGAAGGAGACACAGAGTCCGGAACGCGAAGAGACCGGTGACCGCAAGACACAGGGTCAAGGCGACGGCAATGGTAGATTCCGTAGGTATGGCCGCGGCGGTCGAGGAGGAACCACTAATGGCTATCGTGGACGCGGCGGTGCTTTCCAGAGCCGTCAAGGAGGTGACTACCATGGTGGTCGACACGGTGGCGAGTATCAGAACAGATCTGGGAAAGACGACCGATATCAAAACAGGCAGTATAATGATGGCTACCAACACAGACATAACAAGGAGGGATATCAAAATAGAAGTGGCAATGATGGATATTACGGTAATGGTGATACTGCCGCCGAAGGACATCAACAAAATGAAAATGGTGGTCGTGACAGATACAACGACAATAATCAAAACTATCAAGGAGGTTTCAAGAGCCGCGGCAGGGGAGGCCCTCGGGGCGGCAATCGCGGTGCGTTGCGACCCCCGCGCCCTCAACAGTACAATCGTAAATCTGAAAACGTTAAATAGCTCCAGCACACTTTGGCAATGTGTCGCATTCGTGGCTTCGCCGTACTATAATATTCTTTGACGGACTAAATCATTTGTGAAGGCAGATTTCACCGGCAACAACGCGCTGTGGTAACAACAAACAGAGATTATCATTAAAAAAATTTAAAAAAAAACTAAAAAAAAAGTAAAACATTAAAACTTGAAACTGAATAAAAAATAAGTTACTTGAATTTAGATGTATGATATATGCAATTATTATAAGTTACGTAATTTTAGATTCTTGTATAGGTTGTCACGCAAGTGATAGTGACGCGGTGTGGAGCGGGTCCGTCGCGACTGGTCGCTCGGTACCTCGTGCCTCGTCCTCGTGATAATTTAAGTACAGGAGATGCACACAACTGACGATAACTGTCTACCGGGACCTTTTCCAAATCTCATTGGATTTGTACTTTAATACGATTAATTTAAATGGTAATTATATGTGTTAAGATGTTCTATACCTGTTTGTTTTCCTTTAATTAACCATTATTTCTGCGATGATTTTGTTTTTAATAATTTTAATTGAAAAGTTATGCAATTTTACCTTATCTTCTGAGATGCATTTGTTAATTAGCGACGGTGTTAAAGTGAGCATAAATGGGTACAGTCCACTCCATAACGTTTTTGAAGTATGTAAATTTGTGGCTCTCTTTAGGCTCAATTTCATTTGCGGCGGAACGGAATTGAAGGGAATTTTTGTAACGATATTGTACATAGCATAATGAACTTTATGGTCAATTGTGCAATCGAGAATGCTCGCGCACTCGCGAGACTTGCGCGGAAGATTTTGGCACATATCTAGTTTGTACGTCACACAATTGACCACAAAGTTCATTACGCTATGTACAATATAGATACAAAAATTCGCTTCGATTCCGTTCCGTCGCAATATAAATTGAGCCTAAGTATTTCTTCCAGGCTTCCTTATTTTTTAAAAACATTGTTCTCAATAGGGGCTGTGTGCAGGCAAATTAAAGAGTATTCTATGAAATGTGAATTGTTTGATTTTGGCCCTGAAGATTTTATAAACTAATAGTGCATTTACACCAGGTCGAAGGGACGCTCCCGATTGCCCTCCGATGGCGGCACGGGTCAATTAGGGTTAATTTAGGTTGCGGCGGAACAAGCGAAATTCGTCTCGCTGAAAGGTGCGCGCGATCGCCGGAATTCGCGAGCATTCCGCAGATTCTCGTGACTGCGCCTTCAGGCTGTAGTATGTGTTCAGTGACAGTTAGTGACCGCGTAAAAATATGTTTGTATACAAAATGTTGTTTCTTATGACCGCTAAGGGGAGCTATAATTTACTTGGATATTGTTTTTACTTCGCTTATTTAGCTCTAAGTTAAGACAAAGAAGTAAAGAAAAGGAAAAAAAATATTTGGGTTCATGATTTATAGAAGAAAGGAAATTATTGGACAATATAAAACATTTTGTAAAAATGTATCAGTTTATCCTACTATATTTTATTATTAAGAAGTGGACTTCGATAAGTTGGTGTATATATTACGGCGTGTGCCTCATTCCAGCGCAGCGTGACCATAGTCGAGTTTTTGAAATTTGACTAGTTCGATAAACAGTCACCATTTAGTCGGTCCGCCGTTCAAGAGTTATAAGGGTGTTATATTGTCCCGCTGAAATAAGCTTAATCCAGCGGTACCATTTCTCGATCTCGAGAACCACAACACCTTACTTAGATCTAATTACATGAAAAAAAGTCGAGATTTAGTCGGTACGCCTACTATGTTTTGAAGTTATTAAGGTGTATGTCCACACTGGAGTAAGCTATTCCGGCGGCACCATTTATGAATTTAGAGAACCACAGCTCCTAGCTTAGATCTGATTCCACCCAGAAAAGTCTTGAATTAGTCGGTTCTAGTCGCGAAATTCTAGAATTAGTCTCTTATCATTTAGAATTTGTGTCGCTGTAGTTTTTACATTATACAAACAATTTCATTTTTGCACCAAATAGATCAACTTTTCATCCGATTCAATGTTTTTTTCTGGCATACTACGTACACAACCTATGTATTTCGTATACACGTGACGCTGCGCTGCAGCTGCAGAATTCCCGCGAATGCGCGAGAATTCCGCGGAAGACGCACGACCTCTTTTTTTGGATCGTATCTAGTTTCTACAATCGAACATAATGATCAAGATGTCTTCAATATGGTTATAAAAATTCACTTTCATTCCGTTCCGCCGCAATGTAAATTGAGCCTAAGATGTAAACGCTACGCGCTACTCCATCGCCTTTGGCAAGCGACAGTCAGTCCTATATCTTTCTACTTAAGTTTTGATTATAGTGACCCTCCCTACTAACCTCTTAGTTATGCGGGAAGGGCACTATAACTTGTGAAAATACAGGGAAGAACCTTACAAGTTCAGGTCTTTACTCCAGGACCTGAACTTATAAGGGATCCGGATCAGCCCGTGGACAAGGCCCACCACGTTGCGCGTGCTGGCCGCGTTGCCAATTTGTGGGGAAATTCCAAACTGCGGGGATTTTGTGAGGATTGGAGTAATGCAGGTTTATATCTACCCATAGGTAGACATAAAGCTGCATTACTCCAACTGATATATAGCTGATACATCAATAGTTTAATGATAGTAACAAAAAACACCGTTTACGATGAACATTATTGGTTTGCAACATAGTACATCTCTCGTTTACTGTATAGAAACACTATACATAATATTAAATTATGTAGAAGTTTTGCTCTGTGCCTACTCTAAAAGTACATTAAGAAAAAATGTCAACCTATTATCAGTTTTAATGCCCGTTAAAGCTTGAGCCGATCACATTTGTCGCATTAAGCCTGTTGCCCGTCGCCATTGGTTGAGGTAGGAAAGGTTAAAAATTACTTCTCCATGAGTATTGCTATTTCTTACCAAACATTTTCTTTATATTCAATCGTTTTCGTCGTTTCGTCATTTTCTTTACGTTCATTCAAGGCTTATTGCCAAGTATACTACACGTGTAACCTATGGTCCAACTTTACGCAGAAGGACATTAGCCCCTTTCGCGTCCAATATAATAACGGCTTCAGGATGTTGATGGAGATGCGGATGCCTCGCTATTGCAGCGCGTCGGGAATGTTTGCGCAGGCGCGTACTGACTATTACGCCATCTTGCGCAAAAAGGCAGCCTCGCTGCTCTGCAGATTGCGGGCCAGCGGCAACACCACCCTGACGACTGTGGTAGCTAGATTTGATGGTAGGTCGCGAAACGAATCATGGAGTCATGATCGTTCTGGGCAACGCACATCGCGACATCACACTAATAACCGCGACGAGCGGTCGCGTCGTCATCGTGGCAGGTCCTCATGCCACTCGCGTGACAGGTCGCAGCATAACCCGCGGGAAAGCACGCACCAACGTTCGCGTAAGAATAAATCTCGTTCACCATCACGGCGACACACGCCAGAGACGGATAAAACGTTACATAACGTGTTGAATGCAATTTTAAATAGATTAGGTGCGGTTGAAAAGAGTTACGGCATTAATGTTTCCACACCTAATGCTAAGAGTGCGGTAAACAATTCTGCAGCGACCTTTCACACTTTTGCTAATAATTCGGACGTGCGCGTTTCTAACGAAACTTTAGAATCGGAGGCGCGAGGCGTTGCCTGCGTATCCGGCGCCCCAACTAGTATAAGTCAACCCAACCATACCCCACTGACGGACCAAGTGCACACGTTCGATAATTCTTCAATCACTGGAGGCGAGTCGATAGCCGAAAACGTGAATATTTCTGAGTCGACTAAAGCAATAGCGGAGGCAATCAAGTCATTACAGCCAGTTAGATCTCATAGTTATTTTGTGTCGAATTTCGACCCCTCCATTCACAACATTGAATCATGGTGCGAGGAAGTAAATCGTGCAAAAGATGCTAACGGCTGGAATGACCACGAGTGCCTCTCGAGGGTGGCTTCGTGCCTCAAAGGTGACGCGAAGGTGTGGCTTAATGAGTGGGTTAAGAATGACCGCACGTGGACTAACTTCAAACTCGAGTTCAAGCCCTTATGTCCGCAAAAATTAGACTACGCCAACATTCTGTTCGATGCAATGAACGCCACGTCGGATAAATATTCTACTTAAACAGAGTATGCTCGTCGCACTTTGCTTCGCCTAAAGATAGTTAAGGATCTCAGCAGCGAACTTATGACCTCCATTGTGATTCGTGGTATAGACAACCCGCAGGTCCGAGCAGCGGCAGCAAATGCGGACCTGACTCCGGAAAACCTGGTGTCTTTCCTATCTATTTATACAAAACTGGCTCGTAGGAAGCAAGAGCTTAAGAGCCATTATGCGCCATTTCCTTCAGGTGCTTGTTAGCAAAATGTGTTTGTGAGAAAAATAATTTGCTGACAAACACTATTAAATATTAGTATTAAGTATTATTTCTGCCCTAGTTTTTTCTTTTTACTAGTCACTAAGAAAACTGTTACTAACCAATTTATGGACCCCGTTGTCTGAATTAAAAATAAAATAAAATTTACAAACTTGAAGAGTATTTTGAGTCGAACCTATAAATAGCGATATTTGTCGACGACATAAGTAATAATAATAATAATAGTACATTTTAGTAGCATTAGAGCTCCGTGTGAAAGAATTAGTCTAGAGAAGTTCTGTCATCTTACCTATTTCTGCTGCCAAACAGTAATGTGAGCATTACTGTGTTTCGATTCTGAAGGGTAAAGGTGCTGGTAAAATTACAGACTTGTCAACTTATGTCATATACTTGTCTCAGGGTAACAAGCGCAGTGGCAGTGTCCCTTAGATCTTTGTGATTTTAAGCTCTGAGTAGCAATGCATGGACAGTCGTCTCGCTTATTAGCAGGCGTACTTGGTAGCATAAAAAAAACCATTATTATAAAAGCATGGGAAGTGAGCGATTGCCAGACGAATAAGTTACCTGTGTTATACAAGTGTATATTTGTATTATACATTTTAGCCTATGAATAGCAATAACTGACGCATCACTCAATATGGTACGATTCTGTTTACTGATAAACTAGCGAATTAATCTATTTGCGGTTGGATTTTCTATAAGAACGACATAGGTGTATGTATCTAGTAACACCGCGTATTACTATATAGGGCAACATGGACGCGTTGAGACGACCAGTTTGGTGCACCGTTCGTATTCTACTATTGAGCACTTTAAGTTATGCAAATGTGTGCGTCCGTACACGTTACAACCCGCGCTGCGACGTTAGTACAGAGTTGCCATAGTTGTTCTTTTTCTACTATGGTATTACTACACTTCTAACTGTCATTTTGTAAAATGGAGCATCTACCTCCATATCGTTTTATGCAAAAGTAAAATAACCCATTCAGTAAAACTGCCATTTATTAGGTCTTAAAATAAGAAATGGTATCCAAAATGAGAATGTTCTGTCCACTGGGAACAAAATAAATAAGTTCACTTTAGCTTTACTTATATATAGGACAGAACTTTTATTTGTAACAGTACATACTACTTATCTAACTACGAATCAATTATTTCTGTGTAATTATAGTAAACCTATACAACCTAAATCAATTATACAAAATATCTTTTTCATAAAATGTACTTACTTATGTTTAAAGTAGAAATATAATATCGACACCATTTTGTTCATTAAATTTAGGGCAGACAGAAACCAAGATGAAATTCGAATCACACATTAAAGGATATATTTCACTCAATGACTTTAGGAATGTATAAGACCACCAAATTACGTGGAAACTGTTCCCGGTTTTGACAATATCTTCCATAACATAAGCATGACTAATCATTACGATCCAGAAACCACTTGTAATTTAATGATGCACTTTTAAATTTGACAAACTGTAATACAAAAAGGTGTCTAGCACTTGCACTTATTGCTTTGAATTTTAACTGAACTACTAGAATGTATATAAGAATGCGTTAAAGGCAAAACACTATTGGTTTAATATTTTGTTCCCGAAAATCGATTGCACACTTGATATTGATAACGAAAACATGATCCGGAGCCATAATTAAGAAAATTTAAGATACATATTATGTTACTATAAATGATAATTATACATCTAATTAGGCCGTATGTTTACAACAGTATGAAATCACAAAATTATACAAAGAGTTTAATATACCTCAATTACGTCGAAAGCATAAAATGGCACCGGAATTAAATTAAATAACTGATACTAAGTAACAGCCAATAAAATTCGATAAGTTTTATAATTATTGAATACGTAACATACGTGATGTACATTAGAAAATAAAGATCCGCTTCGATTTACAGTAATAACGTACTTACTTGTAAATGCCCGTACATTCTTTTTCCGCACGACAAATCAATTATTATAGAGCATATGTCACAGGTAGATACAAAAATTAAATAAGTAATGTCCTTTATGTGTTTGAAGCACTACGAATGCCGTCACTTAACGATCGCTACCGTTATATCATTTGCCGGGACATGGCCTGCCGCAATTTGCGTTCCCAAGACTCTGCTTCGGCCCACGAATGTCTTACGTCTCGGAAAAGCTGTGGGGAGAGAACAGACTATTAGTGCAAACCATATAACTATCGACAGACTGCATAATGGCGTGTTTACACAGAGTCGACTGTCGCCTTTGGCAGACAATTTCGCCTCGCCGAAGAAGGAGCAGTCGACTCGCTGTTTACAGAGCAGCGTCGCGGCTATTGACTTATAAGTCGACTGCCGCGTCTTCGGCAAGGGACCTCGGCTGACGAGGGCGGCACAGCCGAAACGTGCTTTAGATCGAGTCGACTACCGCCTTCGTCGAAATCACCAAATCATTACAAATAAAGTTTACGTACAGCGACTCAACAAATTGATTGGACAGGTAGATACTCATACCCAGGGCTCCCAACACTTGTTTGGTTGGCCGTCGCTTGCGGAAGTCTAACTGCTGTAGGCGACTGAAAGTGATTACATTTAGTCGACTCGATCGACTTCAGCAGCAAACTAGTCTTCAAACGACTCTGGGTTAACACCGGATAAGTTTCTGCCCGCGGCGGGCAAGCGCGGATGTATCTGTCGACCTAGTATAAAGGCGCCAAAACAAAGACTATCTATTAGAAAAGACCCAACATCAGCAAATTTTCTCACCTGCGATAGCCAAACTTCGTCAGCTAAAAGTTCATTTAAAATAACTGTGGTATCTTTCCTGGGGTCTTGCATCCTTTTTTCTGCAACACGTTTGCTGCATTCGGCGTACATTAAGTATTTCTGATGCGATATTCTGGAGTACAACTGCACCCGACCACAACATGTCGCACACACAAGGAATTCCTACGGAGAATATTAAAGCATTCAAGAGAAAATACTTCAAAGGACGTTTAAACAAATAAAAAGTCAAAAGCTACCAAAGTATGATCTAAAAGTTAATGTCTTCCTGATGCTCGTGTACAAATAACATCAAGTGTTTAAATGTAAATTTTTTAAACGGTTTTTCAGAATTCTGAACTCCGGGGAGTTGAAATTGTTTCAGTACAAACTTTTTCGTAAGCTAATCTGGCATCGGGTTGGACGGGCTCGAGGGTGGCCGGGTTGTAGGGCTGGCCGTAGAGCAGCAGCCGCGCGACGGCGGGGCGCGCGCAGGCGCGACAGGCGCCGGCGCCGGCCGCCACGCTGAGCCCGGGCCACGTGCCCACCGCGGCGTCGAGGGCGCGCGCGCCGCTACCCGCGCCGCCGCCCGACGATACTCGTGCTCGCATCGACTCCGTCACCTCGTCTACCGTCTTCACGTTTGAAAGGAAGTACTCGTCTGAAATTTTATTTCCCTCTTTAACACATTTGTAACTCGTTTATTAAGACGAGAGATCGTTATGTAAACGGGCATAAAACATTGTCATCTTTACCTTGTTCCTGAAATATTTCTGTAAGGAAGTTGGGATCTAACGCGTGCGATATAAGCGTTTGTATGTAGACCTCGAAGTTCTCCTGATACATTTGAGTTTCTAGCATTCTTTTTTCGATAAAACTACAGTCGTCGAATGGAAGATCACTTCTAACTAACTCTACAATAGTCTCTAAATGAGTCTGAGACCGAACTTTAACTGGTACTTGTGTGTATAATTTTTTATTCTCGGGGTTCCACGCTGCGTACTGTAAAGTAAAACGACACAAAACTTTAAGTCTGCTCTGGCAATGTGATATAAACAATAAATAAGTTTGTACCAATTAGTTAATCTGCCCTTGAGACGAAAAAAGGCACAACTTCTGTATAAAGTACGCATAGTTGTGCTCTTTTTCGTTACGAGGGCAGTATTTATACATACCGTCGATATATTCCTGTATAAAACTTTGCCGTTTTCGTCAAAAGGCTCATACTTTTGTAACAGTGTCTTACCGTCTACCCTCCAAATAGCCGGCCACATTTCAGTCAATTCACTTTTTATCGCAACAAATTCACCTGACTGAAACAGAAACGAAAATAAGGGTCGTATTCTAAACTCTACTCAATGCTCAAGTCAGGATTTGAGTATGGTTTAAAGCATTCGAAATCATACTCAAGTCCCTGCCATTAGGGTCGTACTTCCAGTGCTTGTGTTTCAATTGCAATCCTGACTTGAGCATTGAGTAGAGTTCTAGAATACGGCCCTAAGTGTAATTTCATATTTTAACAATTGTTTAAAACAAAAAATGATTATTATTTATTGAGCAAAGCCTATGTCAAAATAGCTAACTAAAACTACACAAGGTATATATAATAAGAAGACAAGCTGTAGATTAATTCAAAAGTAATTGATCACTGACTGAATGACTTCCCATACCAGAAAAAATCTGTATTATGGGAGATCAGTCATCCTCTATGACAGCCACCTCCACAACAATTTCAAAAAGTACTAAATTTCTTTTAATATAGTTTGCCAAGTCAAATAACACAAAATAAAAAGTAATATATACGTAAAATAAGAACTTCAATGACTTTGTATATGTAAAAAAGGGATTACTGTATCTTTAGCATCTTTATGTACGACGTTCTCCACGCCGCAGCACCATATCTCTAGCCCTGCACTGTATCTGAGAATTGGTAACGTGAATGTACATGCATATACTCTTTTCTGATCTCGACATGGTGTAGAGGCATATTTCTTGTATGTGTCCACGTACATATTATGGGAGAATGAGAGCTACAGTTAAATGTTTCAATACCTGATAGGGCATTTCCTCAATTGGTCTAGTATTATCGACTTGACCCGCGTTAGAGATTTGTTGATGGGACTTAATGTTATGCAACTTTCTATTCGAGTTGGCGTCATCCTCCGCAGTGCCGTAGAGGCCATAACCAAGATTAGCACCGTGGGCACCGGCTAAAACATTTCATCAACATAAATATTTATCATTAAAAAATGCAAATAATATAAGGAATATATATTAAATATACACAAGTAATTACCTGTTACGTAGCGAGGAGCACTTGAAGATGTCGGTAATTTACAAAACCAAAATGAATGAAGGGGTGGGACAGGAAGGGAACGCCCAGCAATGATCTACGATCGTCGCAGCGATAACATGTACAATGTACACAAACGATAAATATACATTTTCATAAGTCACATTTTAAAATAGATTTACAAATAGTTATTGTACATGTTATCCCTATATTGGCGAAATGAGGGGTGCTACCAGGAATAATTACAAAATTAAAACTATTCAAGACTTCGTCAGTAATATACTCGTTTTTATTTTACGTTTCCTCCTATTATACAAAAGTATTTACATAAAATATTGAGAATTGTGCATAAACAAATAACAATTAAATAGAAATACAAAACTTATGTTCTGGGCATTGCCTTCTAATACATTATCTTGCGCTTACTTATAGCTGTCAATGTATTATGCATTTCATTTCTTCCTTATGTAATATAAGATCACTTTCAGCTAAAGAATATGCATACACTATTGTAAGTACCAACTAAATTCCAATACTTTAAAATACAATACATTATTATATACAACAGACACCACTGGTACTAATTCCATAAAAAAATATACCACAATTTTGGAATCATTAATGGTAGCACCCCTTCAGTAGCGAGTATGACAAGAGTCACGGTTTCTACATTTACAATAAAATGGCACTAGTTATGTGTCATCATTATAACAACAATGGAAGTGAAATCTTGTTACAGACTAACCCTAAAACATTGAACCTCTACTAAAGATAGGTACATCACAATTCTTCATTAGAAATTATATACAAAATTAAAATCATAGATTTCATCTAATAAAAAAAAATACAGTATCACAGTTAAAATGTAACAAGTTTTCACGATATCTGGCCTATAAGGCAGTTAGCTTGCTCCTGTCATACAAGCTTCAGGGCTAGCTCTTCACCATCGCGCTCTACTTCTCAAGTGGAAATCAAATAAATTGAACGCACCTTCATCAGGCTGGTGTTGGTAATAATATTGTTGTTGGGGCGCTGCCTGCAGCGACGCCACGGGCTGCGGCGCAGGCGGCCGTGGCTTCTTCGGCGCGGCCGGCTGAGGCGCCACTACTGCCGAAGGGGTCGGCTTGTTCATAGTTGTTCTACCCTTCTTATCTTTGTCATTCAACGGTGTACTAGGCACATTGAGTACTGGCTTGTTCATCCTTCTCGCCTCTTCCTCAGCATCGTAATCTTTGCTACCATCAAATTTACGTTTTCTATCTTTATTTACATTGTAATAACGGTCGTCCAATTCAACTCCCTTTGGTTGTGAGCCGAGAAGATGAGACGCGGCGCCATGAATTTGATTAGCTCCTAACAAGCCAGGAGTACTCATACCTGCTGAAGATCCCATGCCAGCACTGCTCAATGACATGCCAGCATTTACTACATTGGTCGCCATCGCTCCATTGGCACTTTGTGTTGCATTTGCATCACACTGGCTTTTGGATTGATCATTTGAATAAGGCTTATTTGTATTGCTGTTGGTATTTGTTCTAGACCAAGTAGATTTTCTGGCACCTCTACCGGCCGGAGGAGGAGATGTATCGCGCTCTCCTTGTAAAAATTTGAGATAAGAAGCCATGAAGCCTGAGCCGGGGCCCGTGACAGGAACATTGAACTTTTTATCCATTATTTTTGAAGTAACGTCTTGTGAAGTACTGTTTATGTTCTGCTGCTGTGAAGTGGGTGCTACCGACGATGCAGTATTTGCTCGTTGTTCTGCAAGGAAACCAAGTTCTTCCTCTATATTAGGCACTACCACCTTAGGCTGTTCCTCTTCACGAGTTTCAGGCGTTGAAAACGATGATGAGGAAGCCGAAGGTGGAGTTTCACTGAATGACGATAATGGTGTTAACTCCACTGATGACTGGAAATCAGGATGAGGACCTAGGTGAAAGGGTGGGAAATAGGTTAGTGCATGTCCATGTTGCATAGCTAGTGCTTGGTGTTGGTTTGCAAAATTTGTAGTGTGTAAAGGGGCTTGAGAACCAAATGCGGAAGTGCCAGGAAACATTTTAGGTGGAGGAGGTGGAAGGTTCCATCTCTCAAAATCAAAGTAGGTCCCATTTTGCTGTTGGCTACTTGTGGAACTATGAGCAGGAGGAGGGATTCTATTGGCCAAATAATCTGCCATTACTACAGTTGATAGCTCATTCATATTTGCATGTGGCAATGGTTTTTCAGTACTTTTTCTTCTAGTAATAGTTTTACTTAATGTTGGTGTATTGGATGATGTGGTTTGACTTTTACAGGACTTAATCTCTTGTAATTGACAACTTTGTTGTAAACTTTGTAAATTTTTAACTATACTCATGGGATCTCCCCGACAGCTTGACAAATCTTGCAAAGCCACATTACTGCTATCAAAAAAGTTCTGGTGCTTCTCAGTCAGGTTTAGTGTTCTATGAGTAGATGTTTGAGACAGAGCCGCACTTTCATCATTATGAGTATTACTCTCAGCTACAACAGAACTATTGTAATTTGAAGAGTTATTGCTAGTACTAGAATATTTTCTTGAAGGTTGTCTGTCACCTTCCCAGCAATTTTGGCTGGATGACTGACTACGTTCATATCTGTTCTCTGAATAGCTTTTACTTTGTTCAATACCTAGGGCTCTAGTTATAACAGAAGGATAAGCTACTTGACTATTTTGTGAAGGAGGCCTCGCTACAGAGACGTCCAATGGTGAACGTGGTGCAGCATTGCTAGTTTTATAGTGTTCGCTATGTGGTTGTGGGGAGTTCATAGAGTTCATTGGACTATGATACATGGGATAAGCAGGACTAGAGCCATGGCCCAAAGGTGATGTTTGTGGTGGTGCTTGAGAAGGACTATGTCTTCTATTAGCTACTACACCACAATCAGGACCATTTTGGGAACTGCTACTGGAATAACCAGTGTCTGTACTGGAACTACTCTTTGCTCGTACATGATAATCAGGTTCCACATTGTTACCACTTTGGTAATGTCTAAAACTAGAGCCTTGTGAAGTTGAATATTGATTGGTTCCAAGCCTACTTGGCTTTGACGAACTCCCACTACTGTTACTATAACTTAGTCTTCCTGGAGCATCCATAATAGAATAGCTTATGGGAGAAGATTGGGGCTGTATTTTATCACTTGTTTCACAGGTTTTTCTTTGTTCACTGCTCAATTCTGGATAAATTTTACTTTGAGCTTTAGTTTGAACTTGCGGGGGTTTTGAAGTGGGTGATACAAAATTAGTGCTGGTAGTAGATTGCCTTGAAGACTTTTCAGTACTGGTGTTTTTTGGGGATTGAGAATTGTAAATGGAGGCCGAGGGTCTGGATGAGGAAGTTGTGGAAGAACGATAGTCCTTACTGGGAGGAGTTGAGGAGGAGGTAACTGGTGGAGTTGACACTATGCATGACTGCTGGGAATGTGCAGTTGTACTTGCAGAACTTGAATATGACTTACTTCCAGCATAATCCTGCTGTGATGAAAGTTGCCCACTTTTTGCAGTGCTTGTATTATATGAATTGTCAGTCTGGTTTCCAAAAGATGATGGAGATTGAAAAAATGTTGATGACGATGTGGATGAAGTTGGCTGCTTAGATGCTGTTGCTGGAGAACCAGATCTATTAGTTTGTTTACCAGAGCTGGAAATTTGGGAATTGAGGTGATTGTTAATAGTTTGTGCTGCAGCAAAATGGGCATTAAAATTTTCATAGGTTGCTGCCGATGCTTTTGTAGTTGCCGGGCTTGATGATGACGGTACTACGCTTTCATGGGGCAATATTCCAAAAGGACTTGGTAGTTGGTTATTTCCTTGCCAACTTAACCCACTTGTGCTTCCTGGTGTTGCAGGCTGGTCAAAAAATGATGTACCTTGGGCTGCAAGAGTTTGATGAGAGTAATTTTCTCTTAATGAGGAAAGTTCACTTTCTACAGAAGATTGCTTTGATGCAGCAGCAGCTTGTGCTTGGGCAATTACTTGACGATGCTGAGCTTGAAGTGATGAACTATAGTGAGCAGGCTTAGGGTTTGCGTGATGAAACAGTGGTGAAAACACTGCGTCATAACCAACAGCCGGTGGAGAAAGGAATCCTCCAGGGTTAAATGGTGACGCAGTTGATGAACCAAGTTGTCCTGCTAATGATGCTGTTGTGTGAGCTGCTTGAAGTAATAATTGGCTTGTAGTGGAAGGCACGGACTGTGTGCCTAGGCCTGAACCACTTCCTGCTAGGTGGTGATGAAAGTCCCCACTTGCAGCACCAGCCTGGACCCCTGCTAATCGATTGTAGGAAGCATATGCTGACCATGGTCCTACTGGATCCATTACCACCTCCGTGATGTTTTGTTTAGTGTCAATGTATGTATGTGTCAATAGAAGTCCACACTTTCATCCATAATTTGTAACGCACATCAAAAGTATTGTTACTACCACTAAACTGGAGCACTTGTAGTCATACTGCGTTGCTCATGCAACTTCGACATAAACAAAACACCCCTGAAAGGAAAAAAAAGGTATTATTTTTCCACTGTCATTCTGACAAAACGATGAATTCATTCCTCTTATTAGAACATTACACGCAAATTCACTGCAAAATATTACATTATTGATTAATGTATTACTACAACTCTGTAGCAAGAGGTTCAAACATAAAATTAACCAAACAAGCGAGGAACGAAACAAAAATAATCGGCGGCTTCGCCATAGTAGCGTCAATGAGGGAACAATACCGACACTGGCATTTTATACAAGTGGGCATATACTTCTTTTATAAGGTGAAATATTCATACCATCGCATTGGTTTGAAGTAACATTTATGAATGTAGTTTCCGAAGACGCTCACACAACAGATAACATCATAAATATGGCCTCGACTTCTTGCTGCGACCAGTTTTGTCTATTGTGAAATGAACAGCCACTCGATTTATATGTTACACACAATAGTTCACGTCTTTCTTTACACTTAGTTGATACTCCTCTTTTCTTTTTTTGAATGTATTTTCGTCAAAAAGTTTAGTTTACTTTATTTACAAGTAGAAATACGACAACGTTTCGCCTTTCACATTAATCGCCGCCATCTTACTTGTCGAATGTCGAACGACCGCCCGCCCGTTCTACACGCGATGCAGCGCCATCTACAATGCTTGCGACAAATCAGCAACAAATATAGAACTATTTTATTAATGAAGTTAATTAATGAAAAGAAAATTACAGAAAACACAAATACTACTCTAAGATTAATATTCATTTTAATGTGAACGATTACATGCTAGCAATAACTTATTATCTATAAAGAAATCAGTACTTCTGATGTAATTTTTAAATTACCGCTATTTCTGAAAAATTTTGCGTTTCGTTGTTGCTTCTTTTAAATAATTGATTTTTCAATGAACAGCAAACGTGCTAGACGTTACATTTACACCGACATGAGATGAAACTACTATATATCTGATAACAGAATATTGATAAATTCAGTGTAATTCTATCTAACCAGTGATAGTTAAAGGGCTTAGTCAGCACCATAAATTGTCTGGTGATATCATCAGCATTGCGGTCAAGGAGTACCACCACTAGCGGAATATATTGATAGACTTCACAAATCTCTTCAAGAGAAGAAGCTATAGCATAATTAAGTACCTATAAAATTAAACCAGGTATGAATAGTACGTAATACATTTATTTTTATAGCATTTCAACATCTTTGGTAAAAATAAAAATCACCACAAGGAAGACATAAATCTGTGCAACGGAGATTTGATGAGAAAATACGATTACCTATAATAAATTAGTTTTGCTTGAAATTATGGAGATAGTTACTCTACAAAAAATAACATGAAAAAAAAGAAAATAATAATATGAATCTTATATTATAGGTAACGTTTTAGTCACTGTCCATGTTCCGAAATGTAAGAATTCACAATGGATAGTATAAATTACCGATATACCGATTTTAACTTCTTGAATGCTACTTGTTATAAAAATGTTTGGCACATGCATTTTAACTTAAGCTGCTGGGAGTTACTGGGTTTAAGCCCAAGAACTTCCAAGATGAATACATATTATTACTGTCGTTCCATGACACAATAATAATACAATGAACAAGGTGAAACAAAAGGATTTGCAAAAGGAACTGTATTTCAGTTGGTGTTCATACTCATGTTAACAAATAATTTTTGCAAAAAAAAAAAACTAAAAGTTAATGCGAGAAAAATAATTTGGTTGCTAAATTTTCAAGAACTGTTTTGGTTTACATTTTGTACGAAGAAGTACAGATTTCTGGCGAATTTTATTTTTCGCCTAAAGTAGTTTATCATCATGAGTACCTACATACAACAGCTGATGTATGGTCTGGCTCTATTGTTTCGACGTATACACCTACTTAAATAATAATCTTATTTTTTTAAACAAATGCATACACTCAAGAAGTCCTTACTTTCAGTTTTAAAGTACATAACTCATGGTGAATCTAAATCATCTAAATGAACATAATTATTAAGAGTTATTAAAGTATACACGAGTTTCAATAAATGAATTCCTTAACTAGAAGGCTATATTAATAAAGGCTTTCTCCAAAGTTCTGCTTTAGGGATATAATGATAAATGGTATATTGAGAACAACAACAAAGGACGGCAAGAACTTTTAAACAACCATTTGAAATGGAATTATGTAGTTTCTACTCATTAAACCATTAACGTGTGTCACACTTCAGGATTACATTGAGAGACTAATTTAAGTTTTCGTAATTTCCAAATATTATTGATAAAAATGCCTAAGAGTTGAATGGTTACGACACATTCAATTACTACAATTAAAGTTCTTACACACTAAAAGTCTGTACAGTTTTTATAAGAAGTTATATAATTTCGTGGACCTTCGTTTTTCGTATTTGGTTAAGGAAATTAACATGAAAATCTTTGGTTATAAAGGCTGCAAGACCAACTACATACTTAAATGCCACTTTTAGTTTAAAATAATGAGTAATTCATGAGGCTATCAGCGAGTTGCAGAAAAGATCTCAAAATAATTTGTATTTAATTATAAACAAACCCTTAATCATCAAAACAAAACTAGAGACAGCATTATACTTAATGGAGCATTAATGTGAAGATGGATGTTTTTGCAAGGCGCTATACACATAAAATTAAATATAGAAGGTATTCTTGACTATTTATATACAAACAGTTTATAAACATTTCCCCTCTATATTTTCCTTTGTAATACACCTCTACCTCTATGCTTTATTTCAACATCAACGTAAACTTAATTGAATTATTAAGTTGACTGGTGAGGTAAAAATCCGTGATTTAGATGGCTTCAGTCGCAAAAAAGTAGATTTAGTTGTTATGCTCCTGGCCTGCCCTAAGCGAGCAAGACACGTGAAGGAGTCTAGTAGGTACGGACCTAATGAATAAAGCACCTAGGTCATATTTTTCGCAAAATTACCAATTAAACTCAGTATCAAAAGCTATGTGACGGTTATTTAATGGAAATAAACATTTAAATTCTATTTACATAAAATGAACGAAAAAGACATACGGAAGGTATTTATGTTCATTTTTTGCAACATCGTATGCGTGAGCAATTTCACAAAGACCAAGCAGGCCTTCGTTGTTCACGCCACTACGCCACTACAAATTGATGATTATTTTAGGTACTATAACTATCAACTAAATAATTTGAATCTCCGATATCTGTCGGAGGGAATTAAGCAACTAGTTTTAGAATTTTGCGACTAGGAAGGACTAACCAACGAATCTAAGCTAAACGCTGTGGTTCTCAAAATTGAAGAATGTTGTCGCCGGACTAAGGTTATACCAGTGTGGACAGCAAACTACTTTTATGTTCAAAACGGCGAACCAACTACACCTTTTTGTGACTTTTTACGCAAGTAGTCAAAATTTATATTGAAATTGAAATAAGGCACGCATATTTACAACGTAATTTTTTCGTTGTCTAACAAAGTTGTCCGTTATGTACACAGAGATCATAGATGGCTATAGATACACGAGAAAACGTATGAAACATAACTAGCGGTTATGGTCGGATTCGAGAGGTTTTTTGCGAACTCGCTTGAACAAATTGACAAAATATCCATTGAATTTATTGTGCTTGCACAAACGTCTTTTGACACTGCGTAGGCAATACCTTAGAATTACATACATCTACTCTTCACAGTGAAGTAAATTACGCATTTCATGTTTTAATGGGCGAGTATTTGAACCTAAATTAGTTCTACAAAACTACCGAAATGTCTGAGATCACAAAAACTGTCTACTTTCTTTAAACGTATTTGACACTACTGTATGATACAATTGTTCGTAACGATACAATATTAAATTGACACTTAGCTAATACATTAGTAAAATGAATTCCTAATCTTCGGTAGTGTAATAAGTTTCAGATCTTTATTTCATAAGTTCCGGGCAAAACTGCGACTTTGAAAACTTAAAATAGCGTACAAAAAAGATATATAACGAATGAAAATATACTAAATCACATTTAGTGCAAGAAATAGAATATATTATGAGATGAATCAAACATAAATGTTTCATTTATGGCGTTCTGAACGCATTAGCTACAGATACGGAAGTTTTAATATCGATAATCTTTTCTATAATTTCGTAATATGAGAATTTTGTTACATTCAAACCTACAAGTACATATATGAGTTTCTGCCATAAAAAACTCTCATCTTGGTGAACACGGAACTCTATCGGTATTCAAATACGTTCGTTTATATAACTTGCTTGCATCCTAAGTTTAGGTTCTACTACAATTACCTATGTTATAAATACAATAAAACAAAAACAAATGCGAGACAAGCACCATTACAAACATAATCTTTGGGTTCACTTGGCAAGATAATTACATCAAACAAAAACTTCATAATAACAAAGGTATAAAATCAAACCCTGATAAAGCTATATTAGGTACTTAAGTTTACAATTTAAAATATGAGTATTGAGTATTTTTTATTTATTTATACTAGTCATGGAGATTTTCAGTATTATGCCTAATACTTTTCCCACATTTTCATCAGTTTGTCAATATCATTTATTGCGCATATAGTTTGTATCAAAGTTATGAAAATTGCACATAAAAAGTATTCGTACTTAAAATTAGTAAACCAAACAAATATTTATATGTGTAATTACTCCCAACCTGTTAAAGGGCAATGTAAATTTATAAAACATTTTATCTGGTTCTGAATCTTGTCACTGGTCTCTAGAAACGAGAAATTGCATTCAAAACCCATTTTACGACTGGAAAATTGACAAAGCCACGTGTCACTTTTTTGTTCAATTATAGACATAATATATCGATATTTAGATTCCCTGGGTTAAAGAGTTTTCTAGAACAATATCAAATTCATCTAGCGGTTCGAGGATTTGCCTTAGAAAGGTGAGAAGTCCACGTTTGCGTAGGAAACTTTGCTCTTCGTACATTTCACCGGTGACGCGGGTCATGGACATGGGCACCAACATTCTATGTAGCCAGTGTTCTCTGAAATAATATTTACCCTAAAATTAATTTTCTATTGTAATTGCAACTCTATTGTCTAGATAATAGAAAGTAAAGTTTGAATTGCACACAAGTCAAAAAGTGGCGACATCGGTACCCGATCTACATACCGTATGACACATCTCTCTTTTTATTCTATATCTGTGCTCATAACCCATAACTACTTTACATATTATATTTGCCAAATTAACACCGACATTGGTAACTCACCGTAAACTCAAACAAATAAATAACTGGAATTTCCCGTCCTTGCCCGACGTACGGCCTACAGAACTGATTTCGTCCATTAGGTGACAGTAACACCGCCAGATAGATCTGTGTTCTTGGTCCTGCCGGCAGTTGTATGCTACGCCGCCGCAGCTCTTGTTTGATTGAGCACTCGCCTCGTCGCATAAACTCATTTTGAATTCTTCTTTTACTCTAGCTGTAAACAGGGAAAAGGTTTTCAAAATTATTTACAAACAATACATTTCAAGTGTTTATTTGAGAAAAAATTAACTTAGAATAGGTGTGAAATCCTGTTGGTATGTGCAACCACAAATTATGTTCATTTTTTTTCTAATATTATGAAGGCAGCAAACAAGCATACGGCCCGCCTGATGGAAAGCGGTTACCGTCGCCTATGAACCGTCGCCTATGAAGCGGTTACCGTCGCCTGCAACCAGGCAGTCACGAGCGCGTTGCCGATCCTTTAGGACCATTCTCAAACCCCTTTTGAAGGACTCCATGCTGTATTCCTGCGAGAAAACCCCGACAGGGAGTTCATTCCACAACGAGATCGACTCGGTTCCAGAGTGTGAGGATGGACTCCCTGCCGGTGGCGAGCGGTGCGATGATAAAATGTTGCTGTTGGCATCATGTCAAACAGTTCTTCAGAACATTGGCCATTGTACAAGCGATAGAACAGGCATATGTAGGCAAAGTCTCTCCTCCAAGACAGTCGTTCAATATCGTCTGTAAGCACAGGATCGTTAACAATTCTCATATCACGTCTTTGAACCGCGTCAAAGGGCTCAAGCTGGCATCCGGGAGCTCCCGCCCAAAGATGGCAGCAGTATTCCATGTCGGACGGACTTGTGACTTATAAAGTAGCAGTCTCTGCTCCGAAGTGAAATAGCGCTTAGCCCTGTTGAGCACACCAAGCATTTTGGAAGTCAGCTTGACTTTGCCATCTAAGTGACTACGGAATTGAACGTCACAAGAGATGTCGACACCAAAGATCCCGATGCTCTCTGAGATATTTAATGGCTTGTTCTGGATTTCAGTTCAGATCAGAGTTCAGGGATTTTTTTGTTTGTGACACAGGTTGTTTACGGTTCACCTCTACGAAAGACCAAGGGGACTTAGCTGCAGACACCGTGCTGTCATCCGCGTAATAGTGAATGCCGTCAGTAGATAACATATCATTGATGTGCAGCAAAACGTTAACCATACCAGCTAAAAATTAGTACGAGTTGAACAGATGTATAAGTTATCGTAAAGAAATTACTACTTTACGTACCAAAATAGTCCCAAATAAAAAGATTTTTTCCGAACAGTCTGGAAGATTTGAAACCACATAGGAAAGCTTGCTCCAAACATTTTACAAGGCCATTTTCGCCACAAAGTAACACACTTAGAGAGTTTGCGTCTTTGTCCCTTTTAGATTGGTAATGCCATTTCACAATAGCGTTGACACAATCACCTGAAACAAAATGTATGTATAATTGGTTTGTAATAAAAATTGTATCTTAAGGTTAGAAAAAAAAAAGAAATGTTTCTTGGAGTCGAGCTTTATAGTGAGCTTATAGCGTATTCTACTGTCATATTCTATAATGTCATATCCATAGTCTTTAGTATAGTTATTTACTTTATCCACTTCTACATTTATAGTAACAATTTAATTACACTTTAAGAGGACAGCTAAGCGAGCGCACTATATAAAAATGTAGTTCAATTTTCAATAATAACTAATCAAACTGAAGGAAACTTTGTAATTCATTTAGAAACTGTTTTGGTTAAAGTATATAGTTACAAAACTACACGGGCTTAAAAATATACAGCAAACTTCAAGGTTAGTTTTTAAGACAATAAAATAAAGTGTGTTCCAAAATTCACGCAAGAAACAATTTTGATAGAAAACACAGGTTTGTAATTGAAAATTTTTATTTTTTAATTGATCCTTACACGCTTGCAATACACGTTTTCGGGCAGTTACAACTTATACAATTCTGTATACAAAATTTTAATTTGAATGGAACATGCTCGCGGACATAATGTCAACAAAAAAAAAGTACTGTTAAAACAGTTACTGTTCAGTTACAAAAAAATGGATGTAAATTAATTTGCTACTCCGTTGTTTATGACAAAGACACAAGAGGATATTTTGTATTTGTTGTGTCCATTTGGGACTGTGTCTAATTGAATTTTCCAAACAACAATTATTATTATTATTATCAAGTAACAATACCATCAAATCAAATACCTAAAGCGCCCGTGCGGTTTCGTTTGTAAAACAATCCTTAAAAGTGTTTATTTCATACACCCTGCTACTGTTTAAGTGCTACCTCTGTCACCTGCAAGCGTGTAGTGAAACTAGTCTTTGCAATAACGTGACGTCCGTACCACTCACCAATAATATGGTAACAAGTTTCGTAGATTCCACGAATTGCGTTTTATATCGTAGCAAAGAGCTTTTCCTTCTTTCGGGCATTTTTAATTGGGCGTGATCAACGCTGAATTAACGCAAGTTAATCATCAGACTTCCAGTTCTTGCACTTTCAGTCACAGCTCCTATAGAACTTGGGAACATTTCAAGCAGAGACTTGTATCTTGTACCCGTGGGCGAAGATCCTAATAAACTTACCAATCATGTGTTGTATGGTGGAAGTGGATAGATGGGTAGTGGTCGGGGTTTGCGGGGGCTGTAGCGCGGGGGGCGCCGGGGTTCGAGGTGTACGGTCGCTGCGCATGCGTGTTGCTACTAAAAGTCGCTCTGTAGAACCATCATCTACGCCAGTGCCTAGCCATCGGTTACACGGGAATCTGAAACGTAATATACTTGTTAAGCAGTTAAAAATGATTTTGTTTATATTTAGTATATTTTCTTACATAAGTGAAAAAAATGCCAAATACCCAATACTTAAAAAACAACAAATTGATTATGCAGGGTGTCCATAAAAATAACACGCCAGAGCGACACTGTGGGTAGGTGAGCTATATACCTACCAGAAAAAAATCTAATAAAAAAAATACCTCGTACACTTGTAAAAAGTTAAACGTTAACTTTGAATAGCTAGTGTGAAAAAAAAATGTATGAAACTGAATTTGCAAATGATCTTAAAAATTGCTCCACTTAATGCAGAATCAGGAATGGTACAATATTATTGAGATTTTTCACAAGAACATAGTCATTTAATTTATTTTTCGTCATAACACCCTACCAGCCTAATCAGTTTCTAAACAAAATTAAATTTAAACTTTTAAATGAATTAATTGCTAAGCGCTAACGGTAACGGCGCATCAATCTTTTTCCCACGTTGTATTCGTAATAAAGGAGTGAGATAGTTACTAGGCTTTTCTTTCTCTCTCTAACTGGTACAAACAAACTGTGACAAATCAAACTTCCCAAAAGCATGCGGATTTAGCTACTAATATCGTGGTAGAGTGCCTTTGTGTGTCGTTGTCGCCGTTTTTACTTAATGGAAAATAAAACAATCAAATTTAAATAATTTAATTTTTATTAGATATTATAGCAAGTGTTCAAACTGCCTCCCTCTGACTCTAATGCACATGGGACATCTTTTGACGAATGAGCTTCTCAGACGCCTCAAACTCATTTGAGAAATTTCTCGAGCTGCTTCATAGACTCGTCGTCGTAGTTCGGTTTCTGTAGTGATAGCTTTGGAGTAAACTTTATCTTTTAAGCACCCCCAATAGAAGAAGTCGAGGGGGTTCAGATCAGGTGATCTCGGTGGCCACAAAATTGGTCCCAATCGGCCAATCCATCTTCGTGGGAACGTCTGGTCGAGGTGCGTTCGGACGTCGCGAGCGTAGTGGGCTGGACACCCATCATTTTGAAACCACATTCTTCTTAGTAATGCTATTGGCACATCTTCGAGAAGGTTTGGCAAATGGTTTTGTAAAAACTCTAAATAATTTTCGCCATTTAGAGTCGGAGGCAGTTCAACTGGACCAAATATTTCCCCATTGAAAATTCCGGTCCATAAATTAATTTTAAACTGGTGTTGGGACCGATCTTCTCATCTCTCGTGCGGGTTCTCTAACTGCCAGCTATGGATGTCGTGGAGGTTCACATAGCCATCTCTGCGACATGCTGATTCATCACTCCACAAAATCGTATTAAAAAAGTTGGGGTCTTCACTGTGCTTTTGAAGCATTTGTTGACAAAACTGTACGCGTTTAGCGTAATCGCTCGGCAGTAAAGTTTGAACTCTCTGAATATGGTAAGGGTGGTATCGGTGCCTTTTTAAAATTCGCTGTGCCGTAGACTTTGAAATGCCAGTCCGTCTTTCTATCAGGCGAACTGAAGTGGACGGATCTCTTGACACTTCCTGCAAAACTATTTCGTCTGCGACGGTACGAGGTCTGCCTCCACCACGATGGCCAGGGTTCCTACCCTCTCTGTATGCAGCATCAACTCTTATTATGGTCTCATGGGTCGGTGGCCTACGGTTAGGAAATCTTACCGCATACAATCTTGCATTTAACGATACGATGCCGCGAGCAGAAACACGTCTAGTTTCGCCGTAAATTAGGTACATGTCAGCGTAATCACTATGAGTGGATTCGGGGTTTGCTCCAACGATATTCTGTTGATCTGCCATTTTAACTGTATAAAGGCAGTATCCGGAGGCGCAGCTGTCGATCACACACAAACAACACGGTCCAAATAGTAAGCAAATCAGGGTCCAAAGTAATGCCAAGTTGTTGATATGATTACTAAAAAAACTTTTCCGATCGTTATCAAATCAAAGTCCAAAGTGATGCCAAGTCGTCGAAAGTGTAGAAACGGAAGCAGCGATAAAACGAAAAACGCGTATGTAGCACAAAACACAAAGGTATGTACTAACGGGTACTACGGGCCCAACCCGACCCGATCCCACCTGGCGACCGATACCGACGTAAGAGAGAGATAACAATAAGGGTCATACCTCTAGCTCATTTTTTACTATCTAGGGCCTAGTGACAAAGTAGTTAGTCATAAAGCTCAATAATTTAACACAATTTTTGTTTAGAAACCAATTCGGCTACTAGGGTGTTGATGTCGAAAAAAAATTAAATGACTAAGTTCTTGTCAAAAATTTCAATAGTATTGTACAATTCCTGATTCTGCATTAAGTGGAGTAGTTTTTAAGATCGTTTACAAATTCAGTTTCATACCATTTTTTTTCACACTAGCTATTCAAAGTTAATGTTTAACTTTTTACAAGGGTACGAGGTATACCAAATTAATCACTTTTTTCATAGTTTCAGTAATTTGTCAGTAAAATATTAGTTGCTGTACCTGGAAAAACTATTCACAATACTCGAAAAATAAAAATAACAACCATCTGGAGCTAACCATGGCAATAATAGCATAAAACCCAACAAAGAGTAGAGTTTTTGCAAAAAAATAAAAAAGGGCCTATATCTCGAAAACTTAAAAACTTTTACTAGGGTCAAAATATTTTTTTCTGGTAGGTATATAGCTCATCTACCCACAGTGTCGCTCTGGCGTGTTATTTTTGGGCCACCCTGTATACATTAAAACTCACGTGTACGTGTGTCCAGTAACTTCATTTCTCACGTAAACTTGATCTAGCAGCCATCGAGGTGATAATCCTGAGTTGTCATGGCCGATACGTAATGTTGATAGGATACCCAAATTTTTATGCTAGCGAAAAAATCAAAATATTATCACAGTATATGACATTAAACTAAACTGTTCAAATTTTCAATGAGTAGACAGTTTTACTGGTAATATAGGAGTTCCGAGTAAGACGAAAATAACCCAGCGTTGCTGGTATTCTCTGTAGGGTTGTGGTGGGCACCACAACATTTAAATCATTGTTTCTACAATACTTTGACAATTAGTAGAAACAGCGGTTTTAAACAGCAACACTGGAGTTAGAACGACATAATATCAATGTCATGGAGCCGTCTTGCATTCTTACGCAACTAGGCTGAATAGGGGGATGTGGTCTAACACCCACACCCTAGATAAAAAGCAGCTCAGAAGTGGGATGTCTGGCTACGTACTATATTTTTGAAATAAAGCATGAATTGAATTTATTATAAGTTCAAGGTAGTTTAACAGCCTCCGTGACCGAACGGTTACCATGCTGGTCTGCCACACAGAGGTGCCCGGGTTCGATTCCCATTCGAAACATTTATTCCTCCCGCGAGTTTGGTTGGAACTTGTGGTTGTCTATGTGTGTGTCCATGGCACCCGCGATATAGGCTTTCCTTAGTGTTAACTATGAGTGAGTACGTGTGCGTTATTATTATTATTAAAGTAACTTACGTGGAAAACAAATTCACTAGTATTTCGTGGAATAGGTATTTTGGGTGTGGACTCTCCGTTTGCTCCAGATATTGAAATCCAACAGTTGGCTGTAGTTTGACTCGCTTTACGCGATGGCACTATGAGAACACGATAGGGCAGTTCTAAAAAAAAATACGGGTAAGTAGTCTGTATCTAACAAATGGCGATGACTTTCTAAAATAGCAGCCTATGTCAAAAACATCTAATATCTCAGAAAGATGGTTTGTAAAAATAGATATATGGGTGACGAAATTTATACCTAATTACTTTAACCAATTATGTAAAAAATTAGCACATTTTGATTTCGCCGAAAGATGCCGTGGTAGTTTGACTACTGCCTCTCAAGCAGAGGCCGTGCCTTCGAATCCGGGCTCGCACCTCTGAGTTTCTCGGAACTTATGTGCGAAATTTAATTTAAAATTTACCATGAGTTTTTAGGTGAAGGCAAACATCGTGATAAAACCTGCACGTCGGGGAAGGTTCACAACCCTCGGAAAAGTCCCCAATCTATATTGGGCCAGCGTGGCGGACTGTTGCCTAAACTCTCGCCTGAGAGGAGATCCGTGCCCAGCAGTGAGACGCATAAATGGATTGACGACGAATTATAAATGTATTCTAAAAAATAATATAAAAAATATGGCGCTCATCGCCAATGTCCAATTGAAAGTTCACAACCGGTGTTATATTTCTAGGGTCTGCAGATTAAACGGACATAAGGTAAAAAGCAACATCGTTCATTTATATCAGTACATCGACAGACTAAATCACATAACGTCGTCTTAGAGTTAATACATTGTACGTGATTTCTATATAATTTTTCAGGACGAAGATAAAATGTGTAAAATATAGTAAATTCAATAATGTTTGTAGTTAGCATTTTAATTAGTTAAATTGTACCTTTTTCAGATACTATATTACTTTAATAATATATTAGAGCAAACAGTTTATAAGTTTTTCTTCGACAAAAATCAGTAAAAACGAAATACGTAAAAACGCGTATGCGAGGTTTTTACTTTAAGACGACAATAAGTCAATTTTATATGTTTCAACTAATAGTGGCGTTTTCAAGCTTATTATTCTCTTCACATCTTTAGACATTATAAATAACACGTAACAACCAATTTTTTTGTGTATTTGTCGACTTACGTGCTAATCCTTTCATGGATAGTTTAGTAAAATGTCAGTACTTTTGTAGTCGTAGTAAATAAATAAATATTAGACAACATCACATACGTTGCTCTGATCCCAAAGTAAGTAGCTAAGGCACTTGTGTTATGGAAATCGGAAACAACGATGGTACCACAAACACCCCGAGCCGAGACAATATAGAAAAGTCAGTTTCTACACTGACCCGGCCGGGGATCGAACCCGTGACCTCAGATATGACGACACGGCGATTTGTATACAGTTATTATCGTTTAGACCGATTTATTTAAATATTATTATTTTTGTATGATAATAAAATACGACGAATTGTTACAAAAGTTGTTGTGTATGATACTAGTAATACAGTCCTCCGAGTTAGTATTTTACACTGTATAATGTTCAATGTATGTAAATCATTGAATTTTATTAGTACATAGTTAATACTTCTCTATGGAAATGTATAGAGAGGTAGGCGGCAACTACACAGAAAATACCGTAGACGATTTTTTGAGATCCATATAACGGAAACCCCGTACTGAGCGCCCAGTTACACACGGCGAAAATATTGGCGCGGCCACCGCGCGGCAACCGCCCAGTTATCACGCCTTCATGTACATTAATGGTGAATCTGAATTCTATTTACTAGGCAACACCATTTAAATTCCTCTGAATAATACAACCGAGCGCTCGCCGCGCGGCCGCTGCGTAGACCAAATTCAAGCCAGGTTCGCCCGGGACGCTCATTTAAGTTAAAACGTAAAAGCTAAATAAATAGAGCGTATTTTGCCTTGGCAGCTAGATGCACGTGGCTGCACGGGGTGAGCGCGATGAAATTCGTATCGAATAAATGCGCGCTCATAGTCTAATATTTAATTTTACGGTAAACGTTCTTACTGTCCATGAAAGGGCTAAGTCTGCCGACACTACATTTATTATATAGGTAAATTGATGGTACTTACTTGCGGTGAGATAAGTATTAGTGAAACAAAAATAGTCAACAGCGTTCAAAGTCAGCAAATGGTATAGGAATTGTTCCCTTTCCTCTTCACATCTCAAGAACGCTGTTCTCTTATACTGAGATCGTAGTAATGTAGCATCAGCTAGTAATTCTCTTAAATGCTTCGATAACAATTTCTTTTCGAGAGACAGACGCACCCAGGCGCGTGCGTAGCCTATTTCTGTCTTAATATCGGTCATTGCTTGGACGTTCCTAAACATGGTGGGTAATTATAATTATACACGGACCTTTAAAATTACTTAGTCAGAATAAGCAAGCTGTAGCAATGCGTGGGGTTAGGATTATCTATCGCGCCATTACCAACCATGCAAACAACAATGGCGAAATCATCTCAAATGTCATAATTACAATATAGGAAATGAAACTTTTTCCGGAGTTAAATCGCGTATATTTGTTTTTTCAAACAAACCTTGAATCCTTGGTTTGTGTAACAATCGCGAAAACCTAAGAACTCGATAAGTCATAATTACAAGTTTGAATGAAATAAATTCATTAAGTTTTTCAAATTACTAAAGGCCTATTTAAGTCTGGAAATAAAATTATATTTCAAAGAAACTGAAATGAATAATTAGTATGTAACCGGACTGATATTTAAGACTGCAGTTTGTTAATTTATTAACGTTGAGTGACATCTAGCCGCCAAAAAAAAAAATCTTTTTAGTACCTACGTATAGATAGGTCCACATTAAGTTAGTTCACGTATATCTAATGTACTGATTCGACCGATTTGCAATAAAAGTTCGACTATATCAGAATAAATAAAATAGATAATTCCTTCTCGAGATATGCCACGCGAGAAAGTGGTAAAACTGACAAAAAAGTTCCCGATATCGAGGATAGATGGCACGTTTCACAAAAAAATAATTTGTGTCCGAGTTACCAGTCTGTATGAACGCAGTTTTCTATTGTTATGGCTTAGTTTCATGCTTTTTGACCATACCATTAGATAGAATAATTTCCTCCGAACTTCGTCGTCACGTGACAAACCCACGGCACCATTCAGCTTCTAATAACTCGGTTTAAGATTTCCATAGTTGATTTTGATATAATAATACACCGAATATATTTTATTCAATTTATGTAAAACACAACCTCCAAAATTTCAAACTGAAATATTTCTAATTCCGGATTTCTCAGAATAGCAGTGGCGAGGCATCCATATAACTCGTTTCCCACCGGCTTGCCTAAAATCAGAGAACAAAAAAGTAACGAGAATGGACACTCTCCGCCCTCTCTAGCTGTAGATACCGCACCACGCCCCGCACATTGACTGAACGAGAATAAGGTTGTCTGTGAGCCGTTTTCGCGCTAAGACTGCTTTGATATTTGAATATAGTTTTCATTTATTCATTACGAAATTTGTACGTTAATATATAACAACATTGTATGTTACTATTTAGAATGGTCGTGAGTTGGTTTATCATTATCTAAACGGGATAAAGAGAGCAGTTTCTTTCCTTTTCCGAAAGATGATACGATGTAAGTAAAAAAAAAAACTTATGTCTGAGACTCATTCAGTTATTGTTTCTTTTAATTAGAGTTTCATTAGTTCAGAGTAATATATAACACAGATTTATTACATCAATATGATGAGGTATAATATAGTAGACTCGAAGTAGTACTCGAATTTTCAAAATTTTGTATTGCCCATAAAAATATGTAGTGAATATAATTGTTAACTAAGTAACGATAAAGTTTGAAAAAACGAATATACGCGATTTAAATTCGGAAAAATAGTTTCATTTCCTATGTGTAACAATCGCGAAAACCTAAGAACTCGAAACGATAAAGTTGCACACGCAATTTCAAACCAAGGTTGGTTACCTTATTTAAAAGTACTCGTCCAAAATATAACACTTTAGGTGCTTTTAAATTTAATTTTTTAAATGAACCTTCAGGATTATTCTAGTTAGTGAATTTATGAAATTGTATTGTGATATAATGAGATTAGCGTTAACCGCCAATATGTTTCTTAGGAAAGAATGTTGCCAAGTGTAAAACTTTTTTTACTATTATACAAATATTATAATAACATATTAATTCAAAATGGTCTATTAGTATTTTGTAAATGTTCAACGATAAATAGCGTTACAAAAACGTTTGTTCAGTTGTTTTATTTTACTAGGCCTAGCCTACGTAAAGGAAAGAGAAGCTCGCGTTAATTAGCAGTTTCAATTAAAAAGTAAAATGGCAACAATTGCATTCACTTGTCGCGATTCTCGCGATATGAAAGTTTGTTTGTCGGAAGCGCGTTAGGTGTTGCGGCGGAGCCTGCCTTCAGATCCGCCGCGGGGGCTGGGGGAGCAGCCACTGAACTTCACAGTTGAGTGGATGCTGTCCTGGCCCCCCATGGCCCCTGGGTAGCGGACTCGGGGGAGTTCGTTGCCCAGCATAAAGGGGCCCGGGATGGAAGGCTCGTCTGGTGTTCGGCGAGCCTCACATTCGGAGTCGGGGGACCGATGTGTCTCCCTTCTCGGGGAGGGGCTGCACAGGGCGCGGCCAGCCGCTGGTGGGGGCGCGGACGAGTGCAACAGCGTACCCGTACCCCCACCTACAGCGGAGAGGAGGAACACTCCGGGGGTTTAGTGCGGTCGGGCTGCTCCCCTTCAGGGTTCAGCCCAGTCCCACATAACCCCGGCTCTGCCCCCGCGGGGCCGGGGTATCTGTAAGCAGATTCCCCCGGATTAACAAAAAAAAAGCGTCTTTTGTAGATTTTTTAAAAGGTAAGTAGATTTTTTGTTTTTTCTGTACTATTTATTTGTAAATGGCCGCTTTAGTCCAATTCGATAATTACACGACACACGCCTTTTACGAAAAAAAAAAACTTTTTTAAGGTACTTAGGTGATTTTTTGAAACTGCTTTACTAATAAATAAAAAATTTTCACGCCTCGCCACTGCAGAATAGTAAACCCAAAACCAAATTTGTTCAAGAATTTAAACTCTATAATTTGACATATTTTCTATGCATATTTTTCATAAACTTGCGCATAGAAATTATGTCAACAAAAATTTATTCGAGAGTTCGCCATTGTTTTTACCTTGTTTCAAACTAAAAAAATCCCTGTAGTACGAGTACCAGAGGTGCGAAATTAACTGTGAGGCACAAACACACTCAGATCAGAACTATTCTTTTAAAATTAGTCTCTTAAATTGATCCTACCGGGAATCGAACCCGGAACCTTTTCACCTAGCGCCCACCGTGCTAACCGCTAGGTAACCGAAGTCATCAAATTATAATTGGTGATTTTAGCAAGATGGTAGACCTGAATAAACCTTACATTGGTTAGTAAAAGCCCCATGTACATTATAATTTCTACAATGAATAATATGATTGTCATAATGAAAAAATATGTATAATTAGATAGGCAAAGCAGATCACAAGAAATCAGCACAATTTTATATACACATTTTAACTGACCTCATGTCAAAAGTTAGACTTTCAGGCAGCGGCCGTAACGGACACGGTGGTTGACTTGACTTGCGCTCCAAAGTACCAGAGTTGCTAAGTCTGTCTCGAGAACTGTCTCGGGACCCACCTCGAGAACTATCACGGGAGCGATTCGCGCTACTCGAACCTTGCTGAGCTTCAACTTCGGCACCGACTGATGATAAATCTGTAATATTTGATATTAGTGTATGGTATGATATAGTGTAACGGCTTAGTGTCAAAACTAAGTGGATGTTTTAGTCAATCAATTATTACATATTGCATTACATCTTGGGGTGGTATTGCTAAAATTTCATTACTAATCATTGAGAGAGCCCAGCGAGCGTATCTAAAGGCTTCTACCTTCCGCCCTTTCCTTTACCCCACTGACCTTCTGTATAAGTCGTGTAAGGTACTAACTGTAAGGCAATTATTTATTAAGTCCACTGTTCTCAAACAGCACATTGCACTCCCATATAGTACTGAAAACACTAACAAAAGTCGGAAAGATATTGTCTGCTCCAAAATGGTATCATCAAAACATGTATTTATTTCCCGATTTCTTGAGTTTCTTGGGCCAATTTTGTACAATAAATTAAACGCCCAAACTGGCCATATATCATTTTTGTTACATTAAGGTTAAGAAAATTTTCCAAAAATTGCTTCAAAATATGTCCTACGATGATAGAGAATTTATTAGTTATCCCAAAATAAATGTCTAATTTAAGCGTCTAGGTATATTGATCATCATATATTCACCTGTATAATTAGTATTTTTTACCTGAAATACAGGATTCTCCTAGTTCAGGTATGTGTGTTATATTTTACATTTATTCGCATAAATTAGTCTATAGTTATTCACTTGTAAGTAAGTAAATTCTTTATTTCCTCCACAAATTTGTAACAACTTAAGTAAACATAAGAGATATTAAAGTAAAAAACATGACAGGAAATTTTATAGAGGCTGGAGCCTAAACTAGGATACCCTGTATTTTACCAGGCCTTTTCACCAGGCCTCCACCTCCAGAAATTCTGATCAATATTTATAAATCCATATTAACAAGTTACATGTATACTTAATTGGAAAAAAGAGTGATAACAAAACAAATAAAAAATTAAAAAATAAATATATATTTATATATATAAATATAAGAATAAAAATGAAATTGTAAGTGTGTGAGAGCGTGTGTGATGATTAAGTGCATGTGGTGTGTGTGGAAATGCGTGTGATGTGTGCGAAAGTG